GCCACTAATAAATAACGAAACGAGGGGAAACAATGCGTTTGGTCCATTCTTGTGAAAATACAAGAACACTGGGTCCAGAAAAGATCAAAATTCATCTACCCATTCGGTGTGTACGGGACCATACAGTTTTAATTGGTCGATATTAATTAACGAGCGGGAGCAAGAATCGGAGTTAGTCACGTTGCGAAGACGAAGGGACGCAAATAGAGGTGGGGTTGGAGGGGCGGTGAACTTAACTGGGTACCGTGCACGTTGCCACCCCCCACTTTTCCCCCTTCGCCATCCATTTCGTACAGGGTTGTTTTCCTGCACGTGTCCTGCCATATGTCGTGCCTTCCCACCCCACGCTCCACGAGGACCTATAGGACAGACTGGGTACCGATCATTACGTTTCACCAGACACCGCTCATCGTTATCGCGCCCATGAAAAAAAAGGCAGCTATTTCTAGACATGCCTCAGCCCTTTGGGCACGGACCGACGGGACGTTCTTTGAAAGAAAATTAAACACGTGACGGAAATCCTCTTTACCATTGATTATGGGTAGGAGTGTAGTGCAGGTACTGTTTTCATGGGTATTACATCTTTTGTGGTAGATTCCTACTATACCGCAAAGTGCCATATGCGTAGCCCATATCGTCGTACATACCTTACGTACACGTATTCCTATAGCCTGGATCGCATATGGCGTACGAGACTTCAGGAGCAGGTGAATGAACCGAGCATGTGGGGAATAAGTGAACCGATGACTGTGAAACTTTCGAAATATTTTAATACCCTCGGGAAGAATCTTTCAGCATGAAAATGGATCGAAAGGGAAATTGAGGAGAACGTTTTCACGATGGGGTACACCTATATGTCTCTGCTAACGGAGGTTTCTTAACGACGCGACGAAATCCGAATGACGGAACCTCCACTTTACGGGCTTTTTGTCTGATAATGGAACTGTTCGCGATAAGATGCCATGAGGTCTTAACGATTTTACGGTGACGACGCATTTTAGCCGGGGATTTAATTTTAGGAGTAATTAAATACATTGGGTATCAGATATTAAGTGAGCCTGTTAAATATTTTTTAGATGTTTATAATGTA